TCAGTGTGCGCTTTAGTTTGTATCATTTGTTACAGTACTGTTACTGACTGAATATAAGTAGGATTTATATTAATTTTTTAATACTGTCAAGCTATGCAACATTATCATATCATTAGCTGCCACAAGCAGCTCTATAAGTTTCTCCGTCTGTCGGTCGGCCCTAGGAGGATGAATTTTGGCATGGAGGACGCATGTGTGTGTGTGTGTGTGTGTGTGTGTGTGTGTGTGTGAGAAGGTGTGTGTTCGAGACAGCAAATTTGCGATTCTTGGTATGTTATTAATATTATTATTAACATAATCAATCTTAAGTTTAAATGTACACCATGTACCATGAGATAATGTAGTAAAAGTAATGGGTTAATGTCACGAACATCATTATTCAATCGCATTGCATGGTGATGCGAAATGTTACATAAATATCAAACATGAAGTTACAACACAAGAGCCCACAGTGGACACCTAGTCTAAACTACTAGCGTCCTGTCATGTTTCATCTTTATAAAATATTTCATATCTTTTGGACAACACATTTAATATTGATTATTTTACTGTAACATAATATGTAACATAACACATCTAATGCAGTGATTTTAAATAAAAGTATTTAATTATAACATGCAGGAATGTTGGTATTGCACACATGAGACTAAGACTATTAAAAATAAGAGAGGTATTGTAGTGCTCCTGCTCCAGTCTTGAAGGGCGTCTTTAATTTTAACAAACCACCAGATGTCACTGCACTTGCTGAGTTTGGCTGTACTGACCCATTACTGTTACACAGTTTCAATTCCTGGTGTTCTGTGAATGATGTTGTGTATGTTTTCCTCTTTATTTTATTTAAAAAGCTATTTTGAAACACTGAGCATGTTTGTATTTCATAGCTGCCTGTGTCATGATACATCACAACAGTAGGCAGTGTCTTATTACAGTGTGAATTGTCATTTATTTTGTCATTTCTACCCATAAACTCTTTGCACAGAGGAATTCTGGGAATTGTAGTCTGGTCATTTTCCCGCTCAGATTACCATGTTCAGTTTTGTCATGTAACGTAGTGCTTCTTACACAAAGCTGATCCAACTCATAGCTAAAGGTGGCATAAATACAGCAGGTGCACCATCTCCCTGCAGCATGGTCTCCAATTATGGTCCTCTCTTCTATGCGGTATCATAGCTGTACCTGTGTGCAATATACTCTGCTTGACATGCTTTCACTTGGCACTGGAAAGTGCTTCTTTAATATAAAATTTGAGACTTACTCCTGAGCACTAGAGAGTCTCCCCCATACAGTATAAATAAACCTAACTTGATATCAATGCAGCTAAAAGCAGCCAAGTGCGACAGGGTCAAATATCGGCTTTCATCTCTTAAAAACCTCTCTCAGACTTACTGTTTTCAATCTCCTGTATGATTTTTGAGCTGCAGATTTTTTGTACATTGTGACAATTAATAATAATTTGTGCAAAATTAACTACACACTACTAATCTCAATGCAAGCAAGCCTAAATCTCTTTCCCTGTGTATTAATAACATGCAGGTGATTCTTTGGGTTTAGTGAGTTGTTTTTATAAAGCAGTAAAACAAAGAAGGAGGAGTCTGCTGGTGACCTTTCCTGACACCCATGTGATGTCACATGCTGTAAACTTTTTTTTACATCTGCAAAATAAATGATCATTACCTTGTAAATGTCACAGGGTGTTTAGCTTTCATATACATAAGCCAGGTGGCTGAACATTCAAGAAATACAGCTACAGTGACACAAATTGTGTAGGGCCTTTGAGAGAGAGTTGAGGTTTTTTGAAGTGGAGTTGTATGGGGTACTTATCCACAGATAGTATATTACATACAGTAGATGTCAGTTGGAGAAGCATGCTGGAGTGTTGACATGGAAGCTAATAATCTACTGCTGTGGAGCGGTCAGCAACAAAATGTATTTAAGCCACCTAAAAAAATCAATATCAGGATAGTGTACACTGTATTCAGAATTCTTTTATTGCTTTACCTTAATATCAGTGAGTGATTTTCACAAAGTGAAGCCATCATATCAAAATCTTCAAAGCCAGACTCCACTGAGAAAAGCAGTGTTTTTGGTATTTAAAGGGTTGGTTCACATTCACCAGAGACACACAAGCTACTGATGGAAGCAGCAGCTCCCATGTTTAGCAAGCTTAAATGACTGTTTCTGTCAGTGGAGTCTGGTGCTTTTGACAAGAGCATAGATGGGGAACTGAGACCGTTAACAACTTCCTTATCGGAACAGGCTGTTTTATGGAAAAGTAAAGTGGTGAAAATGTTCTCAATATGTTCTACACTTAATCTGATATTGATTCTTTGGAGGTTTGACTTCTTAAGGTGAGGGAAAAATAATTCTAGTTGCTGACCCCGATCCACAGCAATGCATTGGTTAGCCTCCTTGTCAGACTCCAGCCTGCTTCTCCAAACTGGGAGCATGCCGACTGACATCTATGGTATGTAATACACTGACTATAGATAAGTACCCCATACAACCCCCCTCGGGCAAGGAGACACAAAAAGGGGTATTTGTAAAGTGACTTTGAAAAGTACAAGTGTGACTTAGCTAAATCAGACTGCTGAAGCCTAACATCAGCTTCAGCTGAACTTCAGAATGTTTTTTTTCCCCAGACATTGTCCCCATGGTTGTACACTAGGAGAAGCTTGTTTTACTTCATTTTCTAAAATATGTTTTGTAGCGGACCCCCATCCACAGCAATACATTGCTTAGCTTCTGTGTTGGACTCCAGCCTGCTTCTCCAAACTGGGAGCGTGCCGACTGACATCAACGGTATGTAATACACTGACTATAGATAAATAGCTACCCCATACAACTCCACTTCAAAAACTCTGAACTATCACTTTAAATTGCTTGAAAACTGCATGCACAAACTCAAAAAAGGAAAATATTAATCACCATAAAATGACACAATACATAATTTGAAACACATTTCTCAGGAGGTCAGTATGTATTTATTAGAGTGAGACTTTGTAAAGTTTGGTCAAGGATTAAAAAGCTTAGTGGGTGTGATCCACACCTTTCCAAATCACCTGTGTAAAACATTAGCTGCTTTTACACACTGTCAGGTGGTCAGAGGGGTCACGACCGTAATACTTATCTGACTTCACTGAGCTACTATCTCCTTTTACTGTGTGACTTTGAGCCCCCGCACAGGTTTCATTTACCTATCTGTGTTTACTGTGGGTGTCACCAAATGGAAATATTATAACAACCCCGTCTCAGTAATAACTTTAACTAATGAAAATCGTTCAGTTAGGCCAGTCGTCATCCTTTTGTTGGAAATCTGAGATCAATAGACCCCACAAGCCGCATGTCTTCATACCCTCCATCACACTCACCTGAATATCTCCGTGAAAGAACACAACATGCCTGTTGCTGCTCTTCTCCTTTGGTTCTGTAGCAGTGTGACCGTCTGTATCAGGCCGGAGGAGCAGCAGGTCGTTAACTCGGTTCAGGTCGTATCCTGGCACCGCGAGCAGCTTCTGGAGCCTGTGTCGCGGGCAGCCTGAGTGTGCATCCCGGCTGGCCGATGCGTGAAGCCCCCGGGATTCAGAGGATGTCTTTGCTGCCACAGAGGTCATCGTTCTGGCCACAGATATCAAAGTGATGCCCACCGCAACTGCTCGAGCGGCTAGCATTGACTCTAAAATAAGAAAATGATTTGGCGTTTTCCTTCTCTACGCACTTACTCCATGTTCCTGCTGCTGCTGTCAGCTAGCTAACTAACGATAGCTGTCTCTGTTAGCATCTTTATCTTAAGCTAAAGTCAAAGCAAACAGTCTATGTGTGGCTAGAGCCCAAATACTTACAGTTGCACCCTCTGCTATATTCGTCGCCTGTCTCACATTGTAGCAGTTAAACAATAAACTCACACATGTATTTAATTCTGACAGTTATGGGTGTTTTTGTCCACGAAGAGGCGCTGTTTGTCAAAGCTCACCTACCACCCTTAGCTGCCAGCAAGCCACTAGCACTTCTGCGCATGTCTGTTTTTCTGACTCCAGAGATACGTCAGAGTGGAAAGTGGTGAGATGATGCACTCCTATCTACTTCCGTTTTTAACGAGTCCGTAACTACGCCGGACTGTACAGTGAGTCGAGGGCTGAGGTTAAAGACATATAGATGAAATGTAAGAGAGAAATAAATTCAGAAGGGACTACATTCTCGGATGAATATGAAAAAGCGTAAACATAAATATTGCAGACATTACAGACAAACAAATGCAGGACATCAAATCAACAGATACAATTATTTATTAAAGGACTATTCGTTGTTTATGAAGGGGTAGGAGGTAGTGCAAAAAGGGTAGGCATGGTGAATATTTTTTTAAGTAGTGAGGAGGGACTTAAGTTTTTTTATTTTGAAGGACATACAACTTTAACAGGCAGATTTCAAAGGCATTTTTATATGATGATGATGATATTGTTTAAAAGGAGAATTAGCATTTTGCTTAAGAAAGTCGCCTTGTTTTGGTGATAACTCAGCCCCCGTGCTGTTTGCTCATTGCACTGGCTCCAATACCTTAATTTGGCATGAAAATCAAGGGAAGGTCATGAATTCTTCCCCGATCACTGAGGGAGGCTTAAAGAGGGTCAAGATTAAAAAATAAATAAATAAACAAATAAATAAATAAAACACACCCCAAGCCACCCCTCTCCCTTATTTATGTATTCATTCATTCATTTATTGAGTATTCACAAATAGTATATATAACATTTTGGCCAATGCGTAACACCATTAACACAACCATTAAACACCATAGGCTTATATGCCTCCTTGCTCTCATGCACAGAAGAGGATAAGTCATACAACCAAAAGTCAACAGATGAAAACGGAAGAAGAAGGAAAAGGTACGTAAGACAAAGTGGGTTGGAAACAGGAGTGAATCATCTTGCTCTAAACTGTCTCATCTTTAGCTACAAATGCTAAAGTCCACTTGTGTTTATCCCTGCATGGATTGCCAGCAGCTGCACAGAAGTAAGTGCTGTGTTGGTGTTTATGTACAGAAATCTGCGAATTGCGCATTTTCCCCGTGGTACAACACCAGAGAATTCACTGCACATGTCAGTGCTGAATGATCGTTCAGTGTAACGCAAGTATGACATACTTTATGGACCGATTTTAGATACATGTTAGTTAGTTTTGTCCCGCTTGGACTTTGAACACGTTTGTAACTGTCAGCACTGATGAGGAGCAACACTACTCAGAGAAGTGATTCCCATTGGCTGCACTGGACGACAGTATAAAATGTTGTCACTTTTAGATCCTGTCTAGATTGAAGCCCTTTCATCATCCTACTTATGTAAAACATATTTCACAGAGACTACCCTTATGTTTCCGAGATTCCCATGGGTAATTCTCTTTAGGGGTCCGTTTTTTTCGTTAGGGGCAAAAACAACTGTTACTGTATTCTATTTATTGATCCCATGGAAGAAGGCAGCTCCACAAACTGTCTGTAGATGGCATTATCATTAAAGCTAACTTTTCATTCTGAATGAACAGTTGTGATCCGGCAGTTTGTGGTTAATGGTAGCCTTGCAATCAATTAAAAGAAAAACTTCATATAGAGAGGTAACAGTAACAGCACTTTTAGATAGGGAGCAAATTGTTAACAGTAGCTACCATAAGATAATGATACCAGAACAAGTGAGGTTGTAGAAACAACACCTCTGAGTGTGTTGGTTATGAATTCAAGTTTTCATTTAAGAAGTGACATACTTTATCATCTGTTGTCATGTACTTAGGGGCTGAAAAGAACATTTTCCTAGCTTCATTTATGTCCTGATACATTTGGCTTTGAGTGGAATAATATATATATGATTGGCTGTTCAATAGCTTTTGGTTTAACTGTAGTCTGGTCAGTGAACTTCATATTTCATTCCTGTATTTTCAGCAGCAGCTGTGGAAGAAACATGGCCTCAAGTTCTTTTGGCAGAAGACTGGTGGCATGTCTTCTCAACGTTTCTGAGGCTCGCAGAAAAGACCTGGTGGAGACTGTGGCCAAGGCAGCCTTATACAACACCGAAGGTGAGTGTGATTATGTTTGTATCCTTTGAAGAATTTAGGTCTGGGTATATTCAGTAAAAACCAGAGCCGCAATCACCTATTAAACATTGGGAGGGTGAGGCTATTCTCGATCTACACCTGGGGCCCCCTGCAGAAGGCCTGACCCTTCACTAAGTCTCGCCCCTCAAATGTGGACTGGCCAAACATAGCACAGCATCAGCCAGCTCCAACAAGGGTCCAAAGACTACACGGCTGTGCTCCATATCATGCATATATAACATGCAGTTCACTGTGTACACTACATAGTTACTTCTGTAATGCATACATTTTGACAGGGTAGTGTTATCTCCAATCAAACGCAGCTGTTGTGTACTTAACATAGAGTCACAAGATGTGATAACAGTCACAAGATATGATGCACACTACTTCTCTTCTGTATTTAGCTATGTATTGTAAAAAATGAGTGTGCTTTCAAGCACGTAATGAATGTCAGTGGCTGATACCTGCTGGCTCCATCATCAGCTGATCTACTAGGTTAATGATAGCTATGACTGCTGTTATAACCATAGACTATATAATTTATGCCACAACACATGTAATGTCAATGTCTGATGATAAAATGTGCCACTGTTAGCTAGCTTGCTTTTATCTGACAACAGTATAATGGTTGTGAAAAATCCACATGTATGTTAGTACAGTGCTTCATTGTTCACTGCAGTAGTTGGCTGTCATTCCACAAGTTCAAAATAGGTTTGTGATCCCACCCGTTTTATTACGTACGCAAAATAGTGACCATTGAGGGTGAGAAGTATCTAACGTTCCACACTCACCTTTTTGACCATTAAGCGTGAACCATCCAGGTACTTACAGTGCACTGCATTTTGCCATACTTCCCAGCATGAATGCACTCATGCACTCCAAAAAATAAGTATGAGCAAAGAAGTATGTGATGTGAGACACAGCAGAAGTTAACTGTTAATTCACAGGCTACTATAAAACCCAAAGGAGCCTAAAATCCCTAAAACCAATGATAAAACAGCTGCCTGCCCTGTCACGGCTGGAATAAGCACGCATTTACCATGCCCAATCGGGCCCAGATTTGGCAACCACCAGCAGGCTAGAGCCTGTTTTGGAGCTGGCTGCCATTTTGTTCGGCAGCTATGTCTCAGCCAGGGAAGGCCCATGTCTACCATACCCAATCAGGTCCACATTCAGCAACAATTAACAGGCCAGAGCCAGTGTTGGTGCTGACAGCCGTTTCACCCAGCAGCTTGGTCTCAGCCAGGATAGCTCCATGTTTAAAATGGTTCTTCGGGCCAGGATTTGGCAACCATCAACTGGCCAGGAGCTGTTTTGGTGCTGGTCGCCAATTCATCCAGTTGCCGTTTGCCAGACAGAATAGGTCCATATCTGTAATACCTACATCTGGGCCAGATTTGGTAAGATTAAATGGGCCAAAGCTGGCTCACATGTGACACCATGGAGCCGGAACACAGCCAAGTCAGCCAGCACTCAGCCGTGGCTACCTGGGAGCTAACCTCATCTTAGAGACAAATCTTCCATATCATACTATTCTCCAGTTTCACATTATTGAATTTTACTGACACCACCAGAATACCCTGTGATGATGCTGATGAGTAACTTCTGTACTTTTATACAATAATACATCAGGTGCTAGACGCAAGGGGACCACAGTGCTGAACATCTTCAATGACCATGACTACAACCGGTCTGTTATCACCATTGTGGCCAGTATCGACTCTATCAGTAAGTATGCACCTTTTACATTTGTGGTGAAATATCATGTTTTACATTCATTCTCCTGCTCTTGAGGGAAGAACAGAGTCAGTTACTTGCTGCAGCGGTGCTTCTGCAGCAGGGATTCAGTCTCTGTCCGCTGCTCTCCAATCCTCTGAGAGGGAGCTTTGTCAGGGATTTAAACACAAAAAATTCAGGATGAACATTTTTCTGGCAAAGATCACAGTGAAAAGTTTATCTCATTGAATGCTTATCCCGAACATGACCTTCTGACAATGCAGCCCGAGCTGTTGAGGTTTACATTTGTTTGTCCTACACTCACTCCTGAAGACAAATAAATTAGCCTAATTTGCCCAAAGTCACCAAATCTTTTATTCTAATCATATTGAATTCAGTTTTCTTTAGGCTGCTATCAGCATTTCTGCTGAAGAGAAGACAAAACATTAAATTTAAAAAATGACTGCTTTCGATTAAGAGTTTATTTTCCTACCCATCACTCCAGGACTTTGCTTTGACGGTATGTTTGATGAATTGTTTTATATTGTTTTGCTGTACTACAGGGGAGGCAGTTCTGTCTGCATGTGAGAAAGCCTGTGGGCTGATCGACATGAGCACACACATTGGGGTCCACCCATGTATGGGTGCTGTCGACCTCATACCCATCTACCCCCTGGGGGAAGAAGTGGGAGTGGAGGACTGTGCTAAAGAGGCGCAGGGTGAGATGCCATTTGAGCATGCATGTGTGTGTGTGTGTGTGTGAGTGAGTGTGTGAGAGAGTGCACTTAGATATACATCCCTGTCTGTTGACTTGATCCCATATTGTATCTGTACATTAGCTTTCAGGGCACAATCATTACTTGTGACAAAACATCTCAATCATTCCCTGCTAGTTGGTTGCAGTACAGGTCATACATAATGTCTGCCCCTCCATGTTAGCAGACGGGACATGGGCCAAACTAAAAAAGTAGATATATGTTGTCCAAAGATGGTTTCCCCCTTTTGCAAAATGACAGGATGTCAGGCGCCAGTTAATAAACAAACATTAATGATATTTATCAGTACAGTAAATGAATTGCCTGTTTTTAACCTTTCAGCGTTTGCTGTCCTCACTAATCTTTGCCAAGAGGCAAATCCAGTCGCAGCAGCCCCACACAGGTCAGACGTATGCAGGGGCGTTTTCCAGGTTTTGAGGACATTTGGAGCTTAACATGGACCTCTCTCAGGGTGTCCCCACAGGGGCCTACCCTGGTGCTTTATTAATGTAAACAAGCTGTATTTTGAAGCTTTTTAATGCACTTTGACACCTTATTTACATTCAAAGAGCAAAAAATCCCAGTGTGAATCAATTTATTTTCATTGTGAATTAAAAAAATGGTTGATAGGGCACCTGGCACCCTCCACCATAAGTTGAATATCACTAGTCTATGGTGTAAACACAGGCCTGCCCACAGAAATGGCCAGGCCCTGGAAAAGGTCCAGTGAATGGGCCCTCCCCAAATCTGCTCATATCAATCCACCTCTTGGTTAGTGATATCGGCATTAACATTAGCTTCCTGGCTATCTTTCACCTCTTCAACCTGGCTGGGAGCAGCTGTCTGAAACTGTTGGTCATCACAATATTATATTTTTTAATACAATATTATTTTTCTTTCTTTTCTGACATCCCGATTTATGTGCAGGTCCTGGCATAGCAAGGAACTCCACTCCAACGATAGCTAACAGTTAGATTAGATCAGCATCAGATTTCTTAGGTCATGTGGTCAGCCACCTGTGGTCAATTCAGGAGAGAGGTTTTAATTATGAAACAGGCTACTTTTAAAGCAACAATAAATATGATGTTTATTGTTGTTGTTTGAATAAGTAATGGTGAATATTTGAAATAAAATGTGGTTATCATTGCGTATATTTAGGATTAACATGACTATTGTTGCCCCCTCCCCCGAAAGCTTTCCCCTTTTTACCTCCTTATAAGCGGCCATGTATATATATATATATATATATATATATACTGTAATGAATTCATCCATAATGGCTATAGGAGTGTATCCGGTGGCTGATGATGTGACATCCTCAGCTTCCTGTGCTGTTGATCAGTTTCAGTTTGCCAGCTGACTTAGCAACCATGTGTCAAGCAGTAACCCAGCATGTGTGCCTGCATGCCTGACATGTGCACTCTGTATACTAATCTGTGTGGTGTGATAGCAGATTTATAATCGGCAAACTCACTAACAAGCACTGTATTTATGCATGTGTGTAATGAGCAGCCCATGTGTCCATATTTTTTCCTCTTACTACACCCCCTCAGGTGTGTTTTGTCTGTCACGCTCTTATTGCTCTCGTGTTTCTGAAATAGTGTGCATGTGATGGCACACGCTCCATTTACTGGTTAACTAACATGTTTGTGTTCTTGCTGGGGCTCAGCTGTGGCTCAGGGACTCACAGAGCGGGTCCAGGGCACCAGTGCCTTCCTGTTTGGCTGGGCAGACTCGCCCCTTCAGCGGGGGCTGGCACAGAGGAGGAAGGAGATGGGCTGGTTCAAGGAGACGCCAGACTTGCAGGCAATCAGGCCTGACATGGGACCGCAGCCACAGAAACGGTTTGGTCTCACAGGTGAGCCAGAACTGGCAGGAAGTGTAAGCTGAAATTGATATGCCAGACATGCATGTGTAAATGTTTGAGCCTGTAAGGAAGGTTAGAATGTCTCTTTGCCAGGATTATACAATGCAGGTGACTTTGTCTCTGTATTTACAAAACTATGTTTGTTTCAGCTCGACCACAGGCCACCTCTCTCCTCTATGTGACCTATTAAAGGCCAAATCTAAACTGGAAAAAATTCAAAAGTGCTGCACCTTTCAACGATAGATTCATAAAATACAATATTCACATGGCATATGTATGTTGAAAAAGTAATTGGGTGCTCTGATCATTCTTCCTGTCCATACTGACCCTGAAGCTATCCCCTCTCTGCCCGACTCCAATGTGAGAAATGGGTAACCACAGTCCACAGTTCTCATTCTGTGGAAAATGTTTTCTAGAAGTATCCCACCAAATGAGATATGTGTAAAAGCACCTGTCTAGTTAGCTGCTATACAATGCAGTAGCAGTCGAGGTAACACTAAGTTCACAGGACAAACTATTTTGCCATTAACTCCATATCAAGGCTGTGTTGCTGAAACTAACACTCACAGATTTATGGGAAACACACTGATATAGCTTAGTATTAACATATTAAAGGGATAGTTTAGATTTTTTGAAGAGGGGTTGCATGGAATACTTATCCATAGTCAGTGTATGACCTACAGTAGATATCAGCTGACACGCCTTCAGTTTGGAGAAGCAGGCTGGAGTCCAACACAGAAGCTAAACAATGTATTGCTGTGGATGGGGTTCAGCAACAAAACATATTTTAGAAAATGAAGTAAAACAAGCTTCTCCTAGTGTACAACCATGGGGACAATGTCTGGGAAAAAAGCATTCTGAAGTTCAGCTGAAGCTGATGTTAGGCTTCAGCAGTCTGAGTTAGCTAAATCACACTGGTACTTTTCAAAGTCACTCTAAAGACCCCTTTTTGTGTCTCCTTGCTGAGCTGTGGTTGACCCACATTAGCTTCAGCTGAACTTTAGGATGTACATTTTCACACAACAAGGACTGCAGATTTTTGACCTTCAATTTCTTACCATGTCGTCACACTAGGACCCTGTTCAGACTTTAAAATGTGTCTTTGGCAATAGGATCACAAGCCGACAACACTAAATACAAGTGTAAATGACCATGTGATCTAATCACTCAAACCACTTGCGGAGGTGGTCTGGGTCATTTGACCACATATCGTTTGTTGCTTAAACACTAATGGGTCCTGATGTGTCCTCAACAAGGACATAACAAGAAGATATGTCATCAATGCAGGACATAGTTGTTGCTTTGGTGACACTGTGCCAACGCTCTATAACACTATGGAGAGGTCACTGCACGGTCATTATGAACACAAGGAATGATTACAGCCACCAAACACTGTTTCAGTGTACATATGACCTGATTATAACAAGACAGCCTTATCCTTTCAAAACAGGTGCTGGTGTGACCTGTCTTCCGTTGTGTTACATTCTGGTACTCAGTGCTATAAATTTCTTAACTTGAAAAAAAAACTTGGTGTCATCTGAAGATCTTTCTAGTGCTGCGTCAATAGGGTTTGGTGCCGAGTTTTTTGTTTATCTTCTTAAAACGTAAACTGTGTCAATCCCTAAGTGCAAGAGCATCTTTCCATACCTGCTGTTGTTCTCCAACGGGTTTACAGGGAGAAATCCCAATTTCTCCATCAAATGTAGCCTCAGTGCACTATGATGCAATGGAACAACACATTTTGAATATTAGCATTTTGATGCAAGACTAAAACTTTTTCTTCACTATAGAAGGTCTTCATCCCTTCTTTCTAATTGCTTACTCCTCTGCTGTTGTTTTCTGCAATATCAAAAATGAATGCTAATTTCATGGAGTTGTTGAAAGTAATCCTGGGAAAGAAAGGACAGCACTCGCTGAAGAAATAGCAGATGACACTAAGGTGCACAGGGTCTCACAAAGACAATCAAAGACAAAGGATGTTTAACATATTGAAAGTGTTCTCATTTGGCTGATGTCCTGCAGGGGTTGGGGCTAGTCCATACGTCATGAACTGCAATGTCACTATCGACACCCAGGACATAGCCATGGGACGAAGCATCGCCAGAGCCATCAGGGAGTCAACCCCAGGGGGCCTGCCCGGGGTGCAGGTACTGGCTTTGCCACATGAGGGCACTGTGGAAATCGCCTGTAATGTGGAAAGCATGAAGGGGAGCCCACCTGGTCACCTGTCTACCAGTGAACCATGGCCGTGTTTCAGCATCAGTGGCCAGGCGTATTGTCACGCTCCAGCTTCCCTCATCACAGCGAGGGTTGCAGAGTTGGCAGGGAGGCAGGGGGTCAGCACCAAGAGCACCGCGCTGGTGGGGTTTACCCCCCATGAATGCAGGGGCCTGGCAGAGTTAGCACTGTCTCAAGGGATTGCTGAGTTCTGGAGAGAGCAGAATAGGATCCGTATGTGAATATAAATTTTTGCCAAAACCAGTGAAACCTCACGCAAAAGTGCCTCATCTTTGTTTGATGTCAGTTCCATGTGCATTCTGTTTTTGTTAAGCTCTGCCCGACTCTGTTTCCATTGCTTACCTTGTCAGACTTTCCACTGCAGATTTACCATTCAAAATTCATAGGTCATTTTTGACTCAATAGGTCTTTAATTTCACACAGAAGAAAACAAGAGCAGGTTTTTTACTTTTAGTGAACTGCTGCTAGCTGATTTAATCAGCTGTAGGCAAGAATTAGCTAATAGAGTGCTGCATGGAGGACGTTTATTTGTAGGCCAGCGAAGTCACCAGGGTTCCCTTGACCTAAAGATTGAAGTTTGATACTTACACATTTTTTTATCAGCATAAATTTCACAAATGAACACCACTTTCATGAATTTTGAAGAGTAAATGCAGCTGCCACAAATAGTTAGGCTATAAACGAAGTACACCATGGTCGCATTGATTGAGCATCTCCAATACAACAAGACTAAAGCTCTGTTAAGCGTGATGACATTTTGTAGTCTCATTAAGCAACTTGTTAGCAACTGTCTTTTTTAGGACACATAAAGGCTTCCAAATTAACAAGTGGGTTGTTCACTGACCTACAGTATGTATGTCATAGAACAAAACATAAAGGTCTCTTAAGCTTGTGTTAACCACAAATCCTACTTCACGCATTTAACCCAAACCCTATTAAAAAAACAGGCGAGGGAACCAAGAGTGCTAATGCTAGCTCATTTCCGGGCTTTAGGGCTCATTCCTGGACCACTGTTAGCTAACAATAACTGTTGTGTTGGCTGACAACTCTGTCTTCAGCTAACCTGTTTTTAAATGCTTGTAAAAGAATCTTAGATATACACATAATGGCAATACATGTTAAAAGACTGACGCTAACGCTATATGTCTCACGCAAAATGGGGTCCATGTTATTGGTCATCATCCCATTAGTCTGACATCCTGTTGTTCCAATATGTGATTATTACTGTAGCCTATTTGTGTACCATAGAGGATCAGCAAACGCAACAAAAGTAGGCTACTGGTTGAGATACAAGTGTCATAGAGAGGAGAGAATGAAACACCATGACCTCCTGTTATTAACTCTGGGGTTGGGGTTGTGTGGGGAGCTCTCCACGGTGCTGAACGGCTCCCGGCGGGCGTATTTCTGCCTTGATGGTGTGCCGCCACCGGCTCTGGGTCAGCTGGGAAAGGCTTGAGGCGAAGCAGGCTCACAGCTTATGTGTTTGCCACTTTTTCATTTTAACCTGCACCATAATCTTTTCCTGACCCTAACCAAGTGGTTTTTGTGCCTAAACCTAACCAGACCTTAACCACAGGGCATCATGATGATTTCGGAACAATGGGACTTCGGAACGATGGGTTTAATATGGTCGGAACAATGGGATGTTGGACCAATGGGCTGTCGGACCAATGGGCAGTTCCCGCAAAAATGTTGCATCCTCACTAGTTAATGAGCCAGGTAGAAGACTTGGAAACAAGGGACAGTATTCCTGTATTCCAAGGCAGAGCCAGCAGCTGTAGTATTGTAGTAGGGTATAAATAAAAATGTAACATAGCCCTGTTTGGGTACTTTACCAGCCTGTAGAAAAGCATGCTTAGTCAGCCACCCACAGGTTAGATTCATGCTTTTTATTGTGTTTATGTTCAAGCAGTATGTTTAAAGACAAACCAGTGTGTTGAAAAATGTTACACTGTCTTGGAGAAGTATGGCTGGGACTGGTAGAGTGTAAACTTAGCTTTTAATAAAGACCAGGATAGAGCTGCTAGTGTTAGCCTAAACTCTCATATAACAGCATCTTGGCTCCCACACAGTCAATCAAAAAGTTTTAGTGTAATGCTCATTTGATTGTTTACAGCATTGCACCAAAAGGAATAGTTTAGACTTTTTGAAGTGGGGTTTCACGGGGTACTTATCCACAGTCAGTGTATTACACACATTAGATGTCAGTCTGCACAGCCGCAGTTTGGTGAAGCAGGCTGGAGTCTAATGAGCAATGAACTGCTGTGGAGGGGGGTCAAAATGCATTATAGCCACCTTAAAAAAGTCCCACCTAAAGAAATCGATATCAGTTTACTTGCACTTATATTGAGAGTATTTTCACCATTTGACTTTTCTGTCAGACAGCCCTTTCCAATGCAGAAGCTGTTAACAGCTTCAGTTGTGTGGTGAATCTAAACTAACCACTTTAAACACCAAAGTCTCACAATAACACAAACAAAATCACTGATCGAGGCAGTGGTAGAACAGGAGCTCCTGTGTTCAGCTGTGTTAAATTACGATTTTTCTCAATTGAGTCTGACTTTGAAGAGAGTGATAGAACTGCATCATTTTCCTGTTGGAAATCACTGTCTGACATAAAGTTGAAACAGTGAAAATATCTAAATATAGTGTATGCTTTAACTGATAGTGATTTTTTTTTAGGTTTGTTGTTGACCCCTCCACAACAGTACATTGTTTAGCTTCCGTGTCACACTCCAACCCGCTTCTCCAAACTGGAGGCGCGTTGAATGACATCTGCTGTATGTAATATGTTGTCTTTGGAAAAAGTACCTCATAAAAGCCTACTTAAAAAAATCTGAACTATCCCTTTAAAATTAAGCTTAACTGGAACCTTTGACCTGTTTACTTGTTCATTGCATTTCACTAAATTTACACATGGATTCATATTTCCTAACGTAGATCTTAATATCACTAGCATTGATTAAGATCACTAACAACTGCATTTATAGCCATTTCAGTCTGTTTTTTATGCACAATTGTGTGTGATAATCTTTCAGAAATATGACATTAAATAAATAATTCTTTGATTAAATATTTTTCCTGGTATTATGTTCATGAGGGGGGCATCAAGTTAAACTGGGGCAATATATCCACATGCTCTATAACACACCTGTCTGCTCAGTGCCTTCCTAATCTGACACTTGCAGTAAAAGAGATTTAGCTTTTTATTTCTGAAGTTCTTCCCCACCCAGCCGAGAACAAAACCATAAATCCCAGCATATCGTCCTCCAGGGTGGAATTTAAATTTTCTTATGTGTGTGTCATTTCCTGTTTGGAGCAAATGGGACACTTGTGTTTACTGATGAGTCTCTGCTGATGAGTCTTTTCCCATCATTTTCCACCATCAGCCTTACCATGCATGACTCTGTGGGAGAGTCACCATCTGTGTGTGAAACAGCTATTTTTATCACAAGTCATGGACTGAATCTTCCAGAAACATCCAGTGCTTTGGCAGCCTTTCTATGAACATGTTAGTGTAAATTTAACCAACTTGTGCATCCCAGTTTGGAAACATTTTTTTTTAGACTTGTTTACCATTGAGTTAAACATCTTATAAATTCTACACACAGCCTGAGCTCATGATGCACATGATTAACTATTTAATAGCATAGAGGCGAATTTGGCCACAGGACAGGTCAGGAATTAACTGGGGCGAGATGATTCCACTCATTTCTTACATAAGGCCAGTATAATGCATTGAATAGCAGCACATTTCATGGAGTAAGGAAGTATAGATCTGAGTCATTAGGTAATAACAACTGAGGCTATATGGTAGTGGCACAAAGGCAGGGTCAGAGTAAGTTTTTAAAGCTAAATATATGCATCATAAGATCATTTTAAACCATATGTACAGAACATTAGTGATTCCAGAGCCAATAACTGGCTTATCTACATGCAGAGAGTGGAAGTTAATCTGTTAAGCTTTACGCACAAACGGAGGTAGTACGATTCACAAAATTTTCCAGTGAGATTGGTGTGCCTCTGAATTCACTGTCCTTTCATTATGTTGTGTAATTTTTCATTTTTCTGCATTTGAAGTTACGTAAAGTCACCCTCTGAGGCAGAAGCTGTGCAATTTTCATCAATGTGTGTGCGCCTCTTTGGATAAGCTCTCTTACTGCGTGAACATTCACCTCTTTGTATGTCATCCAGCTGAGGCTCTTAGTCACACTAGCAACGCAGCCGTGCAGCTTCATTTCATGCGTACATACACAACTCTCTCCCTCCCTTTCACACACATACACACATTCTTTCTCTCTCCTTTCTGCTGTCTTACTCTCTCTTCTGCATCTAGACACACATGCATTTACTCTATGGATGACACACACACACACACACACACGCAAATACACACGCTCAGCCTGCCAGGCTTGGGAGCATCAAGGCCTAATCTAGGTCACAGCATAAGCCCAGAGGTATCCTGGTCTCCACAAACACAGACACACACTCTCGTCTGCACGCACGTTTTTAAATTTGCAAGCGAAATCACATCTTGGGTATAAAATCCATTTTGACTCGACTAATTTTCCCTCAGCTAGCAGTGAAAAGCATTTGATTTCCAGTTTGACAACAGACACACCTCACTTCCCAGGAAAAACAGGACTATAAATAAAACCAGTGAATTTCATATTTTCCAAAAATCCCCTCCCCATCTTCTCCATCCACCTCCCAGACAGCCTTGTTGGTTATGTGACTAATGGCTCTTATGATTGTCACAAGGCCATCATTTCCTTCATTAAGTGCACTTCCTGCAGCAGATCACTGAGTTAATATCCACTTAAGAAACATTTTCCCACTAGAGCCTAAATCTATTTTTGTGTGTGTGTGCAATCTGCTTCACTGAAGACATGGATGTTCCTGCATGCTGCTGCAGTTTATATGCATCCTTGCTGCAGAAGCACCATAGGATCCCTTTGATATGACTTAGCCTGACAGCGTACCATCCAAGATGCGACTGTGTGTCACAGCACAGAAATAGAGGAGCTTATTTCTTTACATCAGTCTGCAGCCTTCTATAAATATTCCAAAGCTCTATGTTCTCTCCCTCTCTCTTTCTTTTTTCTTTCCTGCTGCTTTCTCTGTCCCCCCCCCCCCACCTCCCTTTCTCCCCCTCTCTCTGTTTGTCCATTTATTTTCCTACACACTCTCTGCCTCCCACATCCTCTCTTCCCCTATGCTCCTGTCATACAATGTGGAGAAATGTGTCTCGTCTGTCTAGAAAGAAGCAGTTGTGTTAAGCGGGAACAAAAACACTCGTGCTGCATATCATTTCTGAGCCTGTAAGGTTTGTTTTCCCCCCTTGTGACAGTCCTGCAGGGCTGTTTAGTAAGCTGACAGTTATATTATCATGCCACATATAGAAATCACCTCCTCTTCCCCTTCCTTACTTTTCTATCCTACAGATTTCCACTAATCAAGTACAGCGTGACGGTTAATCACTGCCATTAATCCCATCTACGACTGCTCAGATGTTTGATTCAAAAATAGGAGCATTTACAAGGAACAGAGGCCAAGCTGATTTTATCTAAGGCAACTGCCAGTTAGACGCTGTTGTGCCCAAAATGTGAGCGCACAGTGTCGTCCTCCCTAACCTATCAGTGTGGGAAGTAAGCGTGCCACCTATGAAGTCAGCAGTCCCCAACCCCCACCCTGAACACATGTTCAACATCCTCTGGGCACAGGCTGAGCAGAGCACTGAGACACAGCTGAGAATTAGAGAGAGAGAGGGAGAGAGGGAGAGAGGGAGAGGGAGCAGTGAAGTGGAAATATGGGTGAGCATCAGAGAAAGACAGAAATAGAGCGATAAAGCAGTGAATTAGGCAGAGGCAGAGAGAGGAGGAGGAGAAAAACAGTCTTTCAGTGAGGCGGTGATGCTTCGTGCAGACAAGGTTATTTTCTCGTAGCAGAGAGCTCTCGTCGTATGCGGATGTGAGAACCTCATGGATTTGCTCCCGCCTGAGTCTCAGCGGAATTCATTGCATCTGGATCCAAAACAACTGCAGACGGAGGATGCGACTGTGGCTGGATGCTAGGATCCATGTGGGCCTGTGACGTCTACACTCCTCTCTGTGGCTACCTTCTTCCCCATAAGGATGGCTCCAGCGGCACTGACCCAGATTGTGGAGTCCTGGCTCTTCGCTGTGCACTGCTCCTCCGGTGGTCTGTGAATGTGATGCGCACGAGGAATGCTCTACACCTCGGCGGTGACCGCTCAGCCCGCTGCCTCTGCTGACATCTGTCTCCGTGGATACACACAGCCACTGGCAGGGTAAGGATGCACTGCTCTGACTTGCACGCACAAATGTCAGGCTGATGGGTTCTGTGTGCGCACGTGCCTGCGTGTTGTGTGAATACATTACAAATCGCTGCGACCATGTAGATCCAATTTCCATTTCTCACACGCGTGGCTTCTTCCTTTTGAACATATAAATGGAGTAAAAAAAAATGGATTTTTGTCCACAGGCTTCTGACAGTACCACAGTGTGGCCGTGCTGATGATGCCATATTGTATGCATGCACTGTGCAGAATAGCTCCATGTATAATGTATGACCAAGGAGATATCATGGTGAGCAACAAGTAACTGCGCTTCCCCCAAAGTACCAAGAAAAGTAGGCTATGATGGCACAGATAGAGAAGACCTGAATAAATAATTTATTGAAGTCTTTTTGGTTTCTGAAAGCATTTGGCTTCTTTTTGCACGGAGGGAAAAATGGACACTAGGAGATTTAGTTATTTCACACTGGGAGAGATAAAGCAATTTCATTCAGCTGGATCCCATCTGAACTGTTCTATTAAAGACAAATTTAACCCAGTGACTTCCTCCTCAGTCCGGTCATTTCAGGTCAGCTTAGTTCAGTTCGTTTTAATGGAGTCCAGCATCCTTAATAAGTCAATGAACTTGTTCACACCTGGTATTAACATGTGTTTCGGTGATCCAAACATAAGTGGACAGTGGAGACACATCGCCTTTGACACCTCTGTCGGTCACGCGTCTACAGCTGACCACTTTTTTCAGATTTCGTTATCGTCACTTACATTAGAAGGTCAAAGGGCCCCGTGTACACTTGTTACATTCACACTTTCGCTAGCTGCTTGCTAGTATGCTCACTTGTCACATTAGCAGTTGTGTCAGTACAGCTGGAGATGTCGCTGTCAGCATGAAGAATGACTGAACTGCGCTTCTATAGCACTTTCCTTGTCTTCCAACCACTCAAAGCGCACACATGTCACATTCACCCATTCACACAGACAGTCACACACTAGTCGGTGAGGCTACCATACATGGTGCCACCTGCTACTCAGTAACCATTCACTGCACACCCTTGGAACAGCCATCGGAAGCAATTTGGGGTTCAGTAACTTGCCCAGTGATACTTCGACATGTGGACTGGAGGAGCCAGGGATCAAACAGTCAGTCTTCAGAGTAGTGGACAACATGCTCTACCTCTGAGCCACAGTCACCCCAAATTCAACATTCTCCTTCCATAGGGCAAAACGATCGACAATCATGCAACACTTCGTCCAAATCGCTGTAAACTGGGCAAGTCATAGAGTGTCAGCACACTGCATCAAAACAACCACCACGTCCTGCACTGATGACGTAGTCCTAGCCAGGCACACATCAGCAAGCATCAGCATTTACACTACAAAAGTCAAATAGGTGGTCATTTACACTTGTTTTTCGCTCTGTCCATTTGTGATCTAATGGTCCAAGATGCATGTTAGTATCAGGTGTAAACAGGCTCAAGACACATCACAGATGAACATGTCTTCTACCACAAGGCTAAGTAGTGGATGTTATTTGGTCTGAGACACATCAGACACTTTGATCAGATGTCAGACAGAGGTCAACAGGGTAACAAATAGCAAATCTGTACTAGCGTAGGATGCTTACTTTAGTCCTTTTACTTGCAATTCCATATCTCATGTTTTCCCTTGGATTCTGATTCATCAGCCTGAGAAGGACATTTGTAATTCCAGCAGGTTTATGTAAATGAATAAAGGTATATTTATCACAATTTAAATTGAAATCTACTGAAGGAAGGGTTTGTTTTACATTGGCCAGTAGTTCACACTTAAAGCCTGGTTATGCTAGAAAAGAACTAGGTCATACAACATGTTGTCCATCTACATCAAAAATCACAAGAGTTTATAGTTGTTCCAAACTGCCTTATTTAAAGAGGTGTAAAGCTGGCTGACATAGAAGTAGGGAGACGTGACATCCTTGAAATATGGGAAAGAATGGCGCACATTTTCAGACAGTCATTCACAGTGTTGCACTCAGTTTTAAGTGAGAGAAATAGTTTTGCCAAGACTGAAAAAAGAGAGTGAACTGAACAGTAAAAATCAAAACCCTCCCAAAATAAGGTTTTTCCCCAATTCTTGAAAATGGGTGCAATAGATTCCCCTAAATCCTACACACTGGACCTTAGTTTTCTTCAATTTCAATTTGTACTTTTTAGTCAGTTCTTTCAATATGCTTTCACATTAACGTTTTACAGTGTTTAATAATTGCCTTGTGATTCTTCTAAACTGCATTTGGAAGGAGTGCTTAATTATTCCCTCTTGGAGGAAGTTATTTGTTTTAACACCTTAGATACTCCAAACTCACCTCTGAAGACAATGACGTATGCCTACATGAATCTGCATGTCAAGTCACTGAATACTGTGGTCCAAATGTCTTAATCGGTGTAAGGCCCAAATACCAACATCAATAATCAGAGAATATAATGTTTGTTATGTTAATGATGATACTGCTAATGCCACTTATGACTTATTGCTGCCATTTAAATGCCAGCAGCAACTTGAATCCAAATGTGGCCCAGATTTGTTTATTGTGTAGGTGTAGTGCTAATGACAGCGGTACAAACAGCAGTGGCTCCAGTGGTTACTGTTGGGACAGACTGGTTATCATGCTGCTGTAGCTCAACAGAAATCTCCAGCAGAGAGAGTTGACAGCAGAAGTGGCTCAACAGAGAGTTGAAAATGTGATGGTTGTGAATTGCAGTGAACAACTAGGCCCTGTCCCTCATGGCAAAAAACAAAAACAGAATGACCTGTCACATTATGACAGTCATTTCGAAAAATAAGTGTTTGTTAATTCGCACAATCCTGCCTCTGTTACCACTGAGAGAACTATAATACTCCATCTTTCCACACTTTCTCCTTTATATATCATGCTACTATGAGTCAACTGCCTCATTCAAGAAGAGAAGACATCTGACATTATTGTAGCAACAGGGCTGACCTGACCTCAATGTAGAAAAGGTCTTTAAACAGGAGTGGATGTACAGTAGCTCTGGGCAAGGGGATAACCATTGTCTGTTGCTGCATCTATTCCATGTTTGGTGCATTGAAGCAGATAGTCTAATGCATTCGATTGGGAGGCTGGATGATGGCATTGTGCAGCCGCATAAAAGGGGTCAGTGGTAGCCTAAAGGTTAAAGAAAGGCTTGCACAGGGAGGGCTGTTGCTTGAGTCTCCATACTGGTCAGGAAAACATGGGTAAGTGGTGGGTAATGCGCTCTTTCAGAAGCCATTGTAGAGAAGTCTTTGGACCTGCAGTAATCAATAGTTTTGAAATGAGCATAGAATCAAATTACTTTATATAATATCAGAGGGGTCAATTGTAGTTCCTAGGAATAATCAGTGATGCTATGGAGATATTATTTTTGTTTCTTTTAGCCTATTGCTCTGGTTTTAAGGTATGCAAATTTATGGTATGGATGGTATGGTCTGATTCGCTCTTATCAATCTCCCTCTGTTTAGCTACCATCCAACAAAAAAGCTCAGATTAAGCCACTGTACCCCACTAGCCCATCACCAAACGTGGCAGACAAACTTTGCAACCATAAGGTTGAGCATCTTCAAAGGTGTTACTTCATTGACAGGGATTCCAACATGTTATCATCCCCACTTGTCAAATATTGCTGCTTTGTCATTGGACTTTCACGTCTGCCTTTGACACACTAGGTATCTTCCTGCATCTGTTGTTGACATTTTAGGATGCTGGGTCAATTTACACTTGTTATGCGTTGTGTCTTTTCAAACTACACTTCAGTTATTACAGGAAATGTACAGGTCCTGCTTGTTAGATGCATAGTCTTTTTCAAAATAAAATTACAATATTGGACACCTCGTATTTTATTTCCTTGTGCAACATAGCACATGGTCAGGTTTAGGCTACAAACACATGTGGTCAAGTTTAGAAAAAAACATCATGGTTTGGCTCAACATTCACACAGGAAGTGAGCAGTGGGCTCCTGGGTGAAAGTTCAGGGTTTGTTGGACTGATCCCCTTCCTGTCCTGCCCTATGGGGACTTTCCAGCTCCCTAAATAGCGTAGCTATTGGCAGCGTTATAATCCACCACTGGCTGGTGCAATTTCATAACATCACTAAAGTTCCCTTTGTGCATCAGTATTTTACACAGACATCCACTGACATAGTGCTGGTGTTTGATGACTTTGGTTGGTGGTCACTGCGTCATCAACTGCTGCCACCTGGTGTGTATTATACCACTGCGACAAGTGCCTTTGTGCGTTGTATCTAATGCCCATTTGACTGACAAAGCGGCGGTAATTGCTGAGTTCGGGATGAGAACAGGCTGGGGTTTCCCTGCACACAGTCCATGAATATGGAGGTGGCAGAGCCAAAATGGTGCTAATTTTGCTAACAATGCTAACAAAGGCTGGCAGAGCCAACAGTGATAACCTGGGGGGGACTGGAGGTGGGCGTTATGCTTCCTTGACAAGACCGTCCTGCCAGTGTTGGTCGGAATGGTGTTATCAGCAGTAACCACTGAGCACAGTGCAGAGCGGCTGCAATTAGTTAGCCAGTGGAACATAAAGGCAGAAACTGACATGCACTAACATGCCATGTGACCAGCCAGGCTACAAAAACAAAGAACAGAAAAGCTCTGATTGCAACACACACAGCAGAAGCTTGACTTCATGCTCTGCTCAGGATGCAATTACACCAGTGTATCTTTAGCAAATAGTCATTTGCTGCCAATTTTATGATCTGAATGATTAAAAATAAACAGATATTTTTCTTAAAAGTTTTACTAGAACAAAACAGAGCTAAAAGGATTGCTTTTGTACTTACATTTGTCAGGTTGCCAGAAACATTGTTCCACTTTTGCTCTGAGTCTATTTGATTTGTTAATATTCTGTTGTTTGCTAGTAAGTTAGCTGATTGTTTGCTAGAGTGTTATAACAACCTCACTAGCAGGTGAAATGTTTTTGCAGTGTGTCTGCTTATTTCGTT